AAGAACCAGCGAAGCCTTGATTTTAATTTTTAAAATAAATCTGATGTAATATTTCAGAATTAAAACTAATCTATAGATTTAAAATTAATCTCAGGATTAAATATTCTTAGTTTAATACTTAAAATCCTTAAAGCTTTAATTCATCACTCATCAGTGCTTAATCCCTCATAATGAACAAAGTTGACACTAATTAAATTTTCCAATTACATTAAAAACTTATTGCCCAGCGCCAAAATAATGCAGCACATTAAACTTGCCGCAAATAGAAAAAAAAATCCACATCCAACAAAGTTTTCAATCTTTACTTTTGTGTCTATGAGATCATTGAAGTTCATAATAAACCTATTTCACAGAAAACAAAAATCCTCTCAGCTGTGAAACACTTTCTAAGTCGTACAAGAAAGTATTTTCAAGGTCTAATCATCACACAATTTACTTTAATTAGTGCATGTATGCAGAAAGTCACTTTGATGTGAGTCACAAAATGCGTTTCATTCATCCAAAAAGACTAAATTCCGTCAGAGAATAACAAAGCTTTCATTTTTTGCATGTGTGACAATTTATCTACTTAAATTTAGATTTTCAACTAACGTACGTAAGATGATAAAAACAAGCATGTATCCAACAGGAGAGCATGAGACTCGGGTGGTCAACAATGCGAGAATAAACACTTGAGACATTCGTATTTATCATTAACAAATTGCGTAGCTATTTTTAAATTAAGTATCGTAAGGACAAGACGAAAAGATTATGACAATTGTCTATAGATTGTGCCAAACTGTTCGCACTTATCAACCAAAATGGAAACGACAACGATCATGTTTCGTCCCAAAATCATTAAATGCTGTTGATCTTTTATCCCCATTCTGTCAATCGCCTGACAAAATACTTTTTCGGTAACGCAATCAAAAAGTGTAAGAAACAATTTTATGCCTATTTCCTCAAATTTTCGGTCCATCACATCCAAAAAAAAAGTTTTTCTTTATTTTCTTGTTTAAATGTTGGCAAATTTTAGATAAATATTAATTTTTGCTTCTTTCCACACACTAATAAATTTTAATATGAGAATATTTTTTCGCACAAAAGAGCGTGTACGTTTCATCCAATAATACATTGCTGACACCTGTTTTCGAGATATAAAATATAGCATTCCCAGTCGTTAAAAATTAAAATTGCATAACAGACAATTTCGCCAGTTTCATAACAGCGACGCGGGAATCTGAATTGATAACAACTTCTTAACCCACATATTTACATTCTCACATGAGTCTTGAATGTCTCGGTTAATGACAAAATATTATTTTTTTTTTGTTTTGATAACCTTGAGTGGTGGTGCTATATACTTCATTGGGTTAAAGATATGATAAGAAATTAATTATTGTCTATTTGTGGAACTTTCTCGAATTATTGGTGATCATTTAGATTTTTCGTGATACCTATGCTGTTTGTGTGATTTTATGTACCAAAAGATTTTGTTTTTAGTCCCCACATCCAGTCACTAATATTATATATTGCAAAATAATCAAAGAAGAAGTTCTTAAGAACATTTTAGAGATGAACAACGATTATGATTCCCTCTGCCTGTTTCCTTAATGCAACATAATGTAACGCGTCAAAAAGGATTAAATCAACAAATTAGTAAACAGCAATTAAATCTTCAATCGCATGATTGAGTAGCTTAATCTAAAAACTTTCTAGTTTTTCACAAAACTGACAATAAATATAAATTGTCTGTGACGTAAACATCACTCGAAAAGCCAGATGCGCTATGAAGCAAGCAAGAAAATAATAAAAATTGTCTGTAAATAAATATCCGATGTACATTAAGGAATAATTTAAATGAAGAATTAAATTGATTTAAAATGCAAATAAAAAATTGTTATAAATGCGACAAAGCTATGCATTACACATGCCCGAAAAACTGATTATTCAGTCGATTTTGTCATTACTTGCGTATGTAAGAGAACATAGATATATTTTGATTATAAATTAAAGGTCATTTGAGGGTGTGAGAAAGGATTCGTCGTCATTATTTTATTGTCATATATCTATAACACGTTTTACTACACGACAGAATGTTTTGGTCCGTACCCGAAAAAATATATTATTTTTTCTACTGTATCTGCCTACTACCGGCATTTTTCTGAATCTTCTGTTCTATTTTTATAAATCACATTCTATTGAGTATATGTGTCTCAATCGAAAAAAATAGAAGACTGAGACGACACTCAGGAAAATTGAGCAGTAAAGTTAATAGACTGTAGAATTATCACTAAAATTTCCTAGAGAAATGGGACACACTTTTTTCAAAATTAATTTTATTTTTACGTCGCAATTTAATTTATATTCCTTCCATTTTGTGATCTTGAACCTGCCAGGAACGAAATATTAGAGGAATTTAGGTGAGATACAGTTGACTATTTTTTTAAGGTTCAATCTTTCTTTAAATTCTTGTCTTCTTCTTCTGACAAACTATGTGTATGTGTAATATGATGGACATTAATGAATGAATGTGTGCTCTAATTCTATTCCCATTAAAAAAATAATAAGATGTGAGGGTTGTCACTAATTTATCTTTTCAAGTCATTTATGATGGTACAATCAGCTCATTAAGTCATTGACTAATCAATTGATTAGACTTCTATAAAATGTATTAAGCTGGATGTCGAATAACTGGATCTTTTTCTGTGCAAATAATTGATAAGAAAAGAATTTGAGCGGAAAAATCTGTGATGCAATTACCGCATGCACTTTTTTTGGCTCATAAACAACCTCGAAACTATCGATTAATCCAATTAATTCCTTTTAATGACTTCACATTTTGAATAATATTGCACGATCAGCATAAGTTTAATTAAGGAAATGATGAGGAGCTCTTTTTATCAATTATTTTTTCGGCAAATATTTTTTATGACCTTTTTGAAGGTGAATTTTTTGTCATTTAATTAAACTTACTACTCATATTTGTATTTGATTTCTTCTACTTCACTTTAATTAATGCTTTTTTATGCAAAATTAACTTTAAATTATCACTTATTAACACGGGAATCTCTTCAATAAGCTGTTTAAGCAAGCACTAAATGACTTTCTTCTAGAGAGATTCGAATCTTATTGAGCTAAAGTTCGAAAATAATTGAATTTGAAAAAGCCGTTATGACAAAAGTGTCACAGCATTTAGATAAAGAAGCACTGGATATCAAATTGTAAACAAAACTTGGGTGTTTATATGAAAAATTAAATTTAAGTGATTTAAAGTGTTTTAATCAAAGTGACACAATTATTAATCGTTTAAAATATCAAAGCTTCCCAATGATATTGTCAAATAAAGTTTTAAAAGTTCCAATCAGCAAAAAATAAGTGAAATATACTAGTTCCTAAAAACATCGGCAAAAAGTGATTAAATCAACATAAATCATATAAATACAGTAGAGCAAAATGTGATCACAGCAGTAATACATGTCGTGATTAAGCTTTTCGGGAAGTGTGACCAAAGAAATAGATAATCGTAGTATAAACATTAATTTAATAATTTTATAAACAAAAGGAACGACAAAGTATAAGTATAATTTCTGCTTACGTTATCGCTTATCAACCGTCTGAATCAACAGTCTAAATTGAATAGTCAATCAAGTAAGTTCTGTACTGTTCAAAAACCAGTCTGGAATTTTTCAGACATCATTCAGACTTCATTTCTTACCAGTTATCCATTAATAATATAAGTCACACAGTTTTGGAACTCTTAAAAGCTGGACATAATGTGATTTGTGTTGATAATGGCGGTAATGCCTATCATGTTAAAATGAATCCCTTCCAGAAACACTAAAACATGTCGAGGATACAACTGGAAAGAAGGTCACATTCTATAGTGTCGATATAAGAGATAAGAAGGTATTGGACTCAGTTTTCAAGAAGGTAAGTTGACTTTATTATCTTGGCAACAACAATAAAAACACTAATTTAAACTGCTGCATTTGGGTCGGCTGGAGGTTGTGGAATATGAGTACCAGTGATGCGGAAACCGTTCTCGTCTATAAAAAATATAGAACACATAATAATGAAAATTGACAAGATCACACATGTTTTTCCAATAAATTTGAATGATTCACGAAAAAGTGTGTCTAATAATATTAAATGAGTGACTTTAAAGTATTTTTAAAAGCCTTACCAGCAGTGTAATGAGCTTCAACAAGTTGACCATCGGGAGCGAGATAACGATAAGCTCCACTTGTAACGTAGACATTCTTTGTTCCATCAGCACTTACAGTCAATCGTCCTTGTTCAGTTCTTGCAATTCCATCTGCTGTCAAATAGTTGTAAGCATATTGTCCATAATCGTCTTTAGCTTCGTTATGCTGTAATAATCCAACGTCAGCTGGTGCGGCTGATACGAGAGCAATAAGTCCTAAGATGATAATTGCCTTCATTTTTAATGTTTGATTTATTTTTTATGTTAAGCTACTAATGCTTATGATAATAGACACAAAATGTTTTCTTATCATTTCGTCTAATTGTTGTGGCTTATATACAAATTTTTCGGAACTTCCCTTTCCCTAGTTCAAGTTTATTTTGTGTAGTTTAACCGGTTGACACAAATATTTAACATCTTTAAGTCATTTCATTCAATTGCAACGAGTTCAAGTTACCTTACATAAAACGAGTAGGAAGGAAAGAGAATAGAATGATGATATAAGCCAGTCATTTAACACGAGTCTGTTTATACAATTGTTGTTTTTAATCTTGGACATATGTTTATTAAATAATTTTCTCGACGTATGATACTTTTATTTACACATGTGAACATTAATTAAGATAAGATTCTTCCGACGCCAGCTATTTTGGTCTAATAATCATTTTCTCTCTTTCTTGTTGTAGCACAAAATTGATTGTGCTATTCATTTTGCTGCATTAAAGCTGTCGTGAATCATGTAGCTTAGCTTTGCAATATTATCAGAACAATATCACTGGAACTTTACTATATATCACTGGTTTTATTGGAAGTTATGACTGATAATGAAGTTTATAACTTTGTCTTTAGTAGTTCTGCTACTGCTTATGACGACCCTACATACTTGCTTTTAAATGGCAATAGTAAATATTTCACTGAGGAAATATTAAAGGATCTATGTGCATCTGATAAGGTGAGCATTGAGTTTTGCGACGTGAAACTGGTGTTTGTAAGCTTAACCTGCTTCATGCTAGATTTCTAACGTCAGGGTTAATTAAATCGTATTATAATTTGGATTAAAAATTAGTCTCACAGCTAAATCCGTCGAGATTTATTTTAAATCCTAAGATTTAAATGTCTAAATTCAATAAAATCCTATTCCCCAGAACAGGAATGTTCCCTTCTCTACTTCAATCCCGTTGGAGCACATAAATCAGGTAGAATTGGAAAAGATCCATTGTGAGCCAAATAATTTGATGCCTTACATCTCGCAAGTTGCGGTTGGAAAGAGGCAATTATTAAATGTTTTTGGCAATGACTAGCCTATACATGATGGAGCTGGAGTTCGTGATTATATTCATATTTTAGACTTGGCTCAAGGATATTTATCAGCATTGAGTAAATTGCTGAAAGGTGGTATTAATGTATATGGTGTTTATAATTTAGGAGCTGGAGTTGAGTATTACGTCCTTGATATAGTTAAGAATTTCTCTATTGCCTGTTTAAAGAATATTGCTTATGAATTCGCTCCTATTGTAAGGCGATATTGCTTCATGTTATGCAAGCATTGAGAAGGCAGCTGACGAGCTCTGTTGGAAATCAAAGCTAGGATTGAAGGAAATGTGCGAAGATGCATGGCGTTGGCTGAAAAATTATCCAAATGGTTTTGCTGGTCTTATATCTGATCTCTGATCCCTAAATCTGATATTTTATTTGGATTTATTTTGTGTGGACCATTTATATACGAGGCTATATAATAATAATAAAGGAAATGAACTTGAATGAAAACTTTGATAATATCGACATCGAAATGTTTAACGATTAAAATAATTTCTAAATGCTGTTCGATTCTAGTGCCACGTCGCGGTAAAAGTACGAAACTGTGCATTCTATTCATAATAAAGGAATTGACATATTCTCATCACGAAATTTTACATTATATTTCATCCCGTAGATCTAATGATTATTTTATATTGCTAATAAATTAGTGCGCTAAGCAAGAATGATAACGTTAACAAGGAACTTGAAGAAATCAAATGAGGAGAATGGACAGACTAACAAAAGAGTTTCGATTCGGTAAATTGATAAAAGAAATAAGTCTGAAGATTCAATTATTTTAATAAATCATTAATTACAGTGATAAGCTGCTTGTAAAAGAAGTTCAGGAAATGGAGGAAAACATGCCATCGACTGTCAAATGTGAATTTCCCGATGCAAACATGCTGAGTGAATTTTATCTTATCGTCAGTCCGAATGAAGGTTTATGGAAGAATGGGAAATTTAAATTTCTAGTGACTGTAAATGAGGAATACAATATGATGCCTCCTAAAGTCAAATGTCTTACGAAGGTTCTTCATCCTAATATTTCTGGTAAGTCTTGTGACTCATCAATGTCTGCAATTCCTGATTAACATCTATCCATTATTTTTAGATAAAGGAGAAATTTGTCTGAGCTTACTCAGAGTTAACTCAATCGATGGCACAAGTTGGCTTCCTACTAGAAGACTGAAAGATGTCATGTTTGGAATTAACTCAATTTTTACAGATCTTTGTGATTTCTCAGATCCTTTAAACGTTGAGATCGCTGAAGAATATGCAACAGATAGTGAGAAAACGAAATCGAAAATAAGGGAATTTGTGCAGTTGCATGCAAGATAAAGGATGTTGATGGTTGTTTTATTGTGAGTCGTTTTGTGAATGTCTGTTCTATGTAGTCATGATTGTTTTAGTAGCTGAGGAGTTAAGAGCTGGAAATTTTAAAAATTATTCCAAGATTAAACAGTTTTGTAAGATTTTTAAGAATGCAGGATCTATTGAATCTCTTGAATATTCAATTCAAATTGATCATCCCTCAAAAGATAGTGACTAGCATACATGCTAATTTCAGCCATTCTGATCAAACCACGGTACTAAAATCAAGATCCAGTAACATCCAGCCATCTGAATCTCCTATAAATCTACTCAACCAAACGTGATTGAATGGAACATAAATGTAAAGTTTCCTTATGTTAAATGGATATTAAATTGATTAAAAAAGCATTTCTTTTCATCATTTTTATTATTGGCTGTATTAATTGCATTTATTTTATTTCTCAATAATAATCCAGATTATTTTGAAAACAAAAAATCACAAAGAAAAAAAAAAATCGAGTAAAATTGAAGTTACAAAGATGCTACATTATACAAATAATAAGAATAATAATAATAATAATTTTATGAACAGAAGATAATAATCTTTTCTTGAAAAATATTTCGTTGCAACGTGATATTAATTTCGATTATTGTTGGTTGTTGTATATTTTGTTAGTGTCTATGAATCGTCCCTATAGATTTATGAGTTATAGTGACAGTTTGTGCGTCAGCAAATTTATTTTGTTTCTCTTCATCATCAAATTTTTCATCATCACATTTATATGATCCATAATAAGAATTTATAATATGAAAAAAAAAAGTCAGAAATATTTACAAAGGAAAAGCCAAGAAATGAAGCAATAAAAAATATTTTAATTCTAGAACGTTGTCAGTAGTTCCTCTTGAATGCTATTTGTTCTCAATAGTTGCTGTGGTGCTCGTCCACTCAGTAGTGTACTCGTTACTGATTCACGTTTTTTAGCCTCAGCGATCTTCTTTGCGTGATACTCTTCTGAGAATCTCTTGATCTTTTCGGATGAGAAATGTGTACGTTCGCGTTTTTTGATCATAAAATCTGTGGCTGTCAACCATCTGTGCTCTAAACATTCCTCGACTGATGGACGTTTACTGAAAAGATATTTTATGATTCATTAATAATTTTATGTCCACCCATGTCAGTGCTTATTCCAATTTTTCTTACAGTGGTGTGCGCTTGAAAATGAACATGAAGAATCTTGATGCTTCTTGTGTTACATCACGGTAGAGATTTTCAAATCTGAATCGACAGAAGCTAATATTTGACTTTGTTTCATTGTCATCAGTTCCTCTAAATGGACTGCATCCGGAAAGTAAGATGTATGCCAAAACACCGATTGACCAAATATCTGTTTGTGGATATGCAGGCTCGTCAGCTAGTACTTCGGGTGCTATAAATAAATATATTATTATTGTACATGCTGTGATTTCAAAAAGAGTTGAGAAACTTACCGGTGTATTCAAGATTTCCATTGGCAGGTAAGTGAACATGTGATCCTAATTTGCTAACTGGCTGTGCTGATCCAAAATCAACAAGTTTAATTTGTTGTGAACGGACGGATGCCATGATAATATTATCAGGTTGTAAGTCTAAATGACAATATCCTCTCCAGTGAAGATATTGGACGGCATCGAGGGTTTGTGATAAAATTGTGGCAACAGTCTGTTCTGAATATTCATGTCGACTTCCAAGGTATGTTAAAATATCAGCACCTTGAAGCTTCTCTTGAATGAGGACAGCAATTGGTGCATTTTGAGGTTTATATGCTGCAATTAAGAATGCGATTCTTTCGTGACGCAATGTTCTTAAATTCTCGAATTCTTTTTGGATTTGACTTGAGGTCTCTGGTGTATATTCGAAGATTTTGGCTACAACAACTGAATCAGTTTGCTTTTCTACTCCTTTAACTACCACTGAATAACGTCCACGAGAAATTTCTGAAATAAAGCTATAACGTTCGGTATATGAAGGCTCTGAGGACCATTCAATTGGTTCTGTTTCAAATCTATAATCAACTTTAGGCTTGTCGTCTTCTGGTAAAATTTGTTGACCAGATTCTGTGATTTGTTGTAAATGTTTCATTGCTCGTGTGACTTGAATCTTTGGTGCTCCAGCTTCAGCAGTCGTGATAATTTCAGTTGTGGATCCGGTTGTAGATCCTCGTTCACTCCATCCGATTCTATTGCATGCAGCTAATCCGAAAATGTAATTGTGCTTTGGTTGTAAGCCGTGAACAAGGTAGAATTCATGATCAATATTGGTGGCAATGTCTCTCCATTGTGAATCAGTTGGTGATTTAAATTGTAAGCAGTAACAAATCACTGGACAATTTCCATCATCACGTGGTTGCTTCCAACGTAAAAGAATTTCTGTGTCACTCACAGCGACTGGTTCAGGAGCTTCTGGTGCATCTGGAACCATAGCATACACAACACGAGTACGTGATGAAGTTTGACCGATCTTGTTTCGTGCAACTGCTTTATAGATTCCAATATCAAATTCAATTGCTGGATTGAATTTCAAAATTGAACGTCCTTGTGCGTCACTATGGTACTGGATTCTCTTACTTTCCTGAATAACCATATCATTCTTAAACCATTGAACATTTGGTGCTGGATCTCCAACAGCTAAACATGAAATTTCAGCTGGTTCTCCGTCAGTGATTGCAACTGTTTGTGGCTTTTCACGGAAGAATGGAACATGTCCATCGGCACGTGATTCAATTATGGCTTCAGCTTCTTGATATGATTGAGATCTAACACTGACTTCATTACGAATACGTCTGCTAACTGTTGTACCACTATCTGGAGTTCCATAGCGGCTAATTCTTGTGCGACGTTCATCATCAATTTCTTCATCCATGATGTCAGTGAATCGTCTACGTTCTCTAATGACTGGCATCTATTAATTAAATATTAAGAAATTAGAAACAGAATTGGAAATTGATGTTATTGGATACTTACAGAAAGATCCATTTGACTGTCATTGATTGCAAAGTTGAAACTTGGTGAGCGTCCTTTAGCAACCTTAATGTACTCTCGCAAACGTGTTGGGAAGTTGGTGTCACGAAGTTGAAGCAAGTATGTATCTGGTCCATATTGATAGCTGAAAATAAATTAATCGGCATTAAGCAACTTAAAAAGTTGTTAAATATTAAAAAATATCCTTACTGGCTCTCAGATTTGAAGCTTGCAGTTTCGTAGTCATCCTTAATATAATCTTCCCATTTATGTGGTTTTCTAGTTTGATCCTCAATGCGTGGTGGCGTTCCCTCAGGTGTGAAAATCATTCCTGGTGGATAAACCATCTTGGATGGATGATCAAAGGCAGTTGCAAGAGCTCTGCGACGATAATAGCTTCTACATGATGCATTTGCATACCAATCACGGAATCCATGCCAGTAGTTACGTAAGCGATCGGTGCTGAGTTGAACTTCATCAACATGCTTGCGAGTTATAATTTGGAACCATGGATGATTCAAAGCTGTTTTAATATCCATACGATGATAGGCATCAAAGGCTAAGAGTTTTGTGATAAAGTCACGACCTTCCTTTGAAATATCATTCCAGATAGATCCAACAAATTGCCATTGACCCTTCTTAACGTTGTATAAAGTTTCACGATCATTATCTCCTAAGAATGGACTGTGTCCACTCAACAAAATGTATGTAATGATACCGACTGACCACATATCTTGACCTAATCCAACACCTTCGCCATTAACGACTTCTGGAGCAACATATTCAGGTTGACCAAACTCTAATGGTGCTAATGTATCCTCAATACGACGTGCAAGACCAAAATCGCAAATCTTCAATTCATTTGAACCAGGATGAGCGATTAACAAGTCACGAATGTTTAATCCCATATGTCCAATTTGTCTAGTATGCATGTGTTCTAAACCTTGAAGAATTTGATAGATGAACATGGCAACAATTCTTTCAGTATAGAAATCTCTACGAAGTAAGTGATCTCTTACTAATTCTCCACCAGCAGCAAGTTCCTCAATCAAAATCAATGACTTGGATGAATCATAAGCGTCATGAAGACGGATCAATTTTCTATGATTGAGTGAATTCATAATATCCAATTCGTTGAACATAAATGGACGAAGATCATAACGACCGTGCATGACTTTAGCTGCAAAGTTACGACCTGTTGCACGTTCAACAGCATGATAAGTGATACCTTGTGTACCACGTCCCAATTCATCACCAAGGTCATAGATGTCAGTATACAATGGCTTTTGACGGGATCTAACATAAGGAGTACGATGATGTGAATTAAAGATATAGTCATCCTCATCTTCTTCAATATGAACCATAGCAGATGCACTAATGGAACCAGCAATATTTCTAGCACTGATTGAATATAGACCTTCATCCTTCTTCATGGCGTCTGTGATAAGTAAGACATAAGTGTCTGGTTCATAAAAAATCATCTTCAAACGAGAGGTTTCTGCAAGTGGCTGCCAGTCCTTAAACCAACGAACTTCAGGTTCAGGAATACCAACAATCTTAGCTTCTAAACGTCCTGAACGACGAGCCATTATATGAACTTCATCTGGTCTCTGAATGAATCGTGGATATTCAGCAATTTGTACCTTAACTTTTTGTCTTGCACAACCATATTCATTTGTGGCTACAGCTTCATACCATCCTTCATCACGTTCAAGCATACTGTTAATGAAAAGTGTTGCCTGACCGTTTCTTGTGTAGCTCCATGAGAATCTACCGCCACATTCAATTGGTTGATCATTGAAATAGTACTTAATGGTTGGTTTTGGATATCCATAGACGAACCAGAAGAGATTTACATTATGGTGCTTAATGCCATATTGACATGGTTCTTCTTGTCTTAAGAATTGAGGTGCAACAGCATATCCATCATGAGATGGTTTTTCAATATCAAAATCTCTTGGGAAGTATGATGGGATTTCTGGTCTAAAGTCCATACCCTTTCCAAGATATGCATGAATACGTGGTGCGTCTGGTTCGAGTTTTGCACGATAAGTTTGGACATAAGATGATGGTTCACTTACTCCATAACGATCTTCAGCGCGAATTCGGAAACGATAATCGTGGAAAGGCAAAAGTCCTTGGACTTCAGAATGACAGCCTCTGATTCCTCCACGATAGACATACCATTCACCATCAGGAAGATCAAGCATTTCAACTTGATAAGTAATTGGGTATTTTGGACCAGCTGGAATTGATGGCTTCCATGAGAGAGTAAGATAAGTGTCACACATACGTGAAATGTATGGACGATCAGGCAATGGTAATGGAACTCCTGCCTTATATTTGTCCCCAATATCTCTTGGATCTTTTGGTGATGCCTTCTTTGGCTTTTCTTCTTCATAAACCAATTCAGCACTGCAACTGTCTTCACCGTGCTTGTTTCTTGCTTTGCATGTATATTTTCCAGCATCAGTATCACGAACATCGTTAATGATGAGACGTAAAAGTCCATTCTTTTCAGCTTCAAGCTTGAATCGATCACCTCCAAACAATTTATTTCCATTCTTATACCATTCAATTTCTGGAATTGGAAAGCCTGAAACACATGCTGTAAATTTGGCTTTCATTCCATGAATAACTTCAGAGTTGGCAATCTTCTTCAAGAATGATGGTGGCTCGGCTCTATCCTTCTCTTCACTATAAAATAATTTGTACATTAATAAGGTTCAGTAAAGTAAAATGTTGAAACTTACATTTGCTTAGTAATTTCCAAACGAGCATCGCAAGAATCTTCACCCTCACGATTACGAGCTGAGCAAGTATAAAGTCCATTATCATCTGAGACGCAATTTCTAACATAAAGGACTGCAGTATCTCCATCGTATTTAATAGTGTACTTGTCATTGCTATGGATTGGTTTCTCATTCTTGTACCACAAGACATCTGGTTTTGGAATTCCAGTAACACGAGCTGGGAATTTAGCATCATGTCCAGGTAAGACTTGCAAATCGCTGAATCTTGACATGAAGTTTGGTTTTTGGAAGATTTTGCGAACATGAACATTTACTCTTGACTCAACCTCACCGAGTGGATTAGCCAATAAGCATTGATACATTCCAGAATCTGAAATTTCTGATGGATTAATGACAATTCCAACTTTACGACCGTCGCATGTAAGCATTGTACGTGGTGATGCTTCAATTGGTTTGCCATTGCGACTCCATAAAACTTCTGGAACTGGATTTCCAATGAATGGTAATGAGAATGCAAGTTCCTTGCCTTCATCAACTGTTACTTCTCCCAAAGAGCTTGTAAAGCTTGGAGGCTCTTCTGGCATTTGATCGTCAATCATTGGTGAAACAGTAATCTTAGCAGCAGTGCTTGCAGCGCCTTGGTTGTTTGTGGCAACAACTTGATATTTGCCTGCATCTCCAGGTGTTGCTTTGTCGACAATCAATGAAGCATGTCCATCTTTTTGAGCTAATTTAAAATGTCCATCTTGACCATTAATGTCTCTGCCATTAACTGACCAAGCCATTTGTGGTTCTGGATGTGCAAGATATTTGACATCAAGACGTAATGGGAAGCCTTCAATGACATTTGTGTCATAGATTTCCTTCATAAAGAGTGGTTTTCTCGGTCTTGGTTCAACCTTAACAATTGGAGTGGCTTTGGCTTCACCAAGTTCATTTCGGACAATGACTGTGTAGACGCCAGCATCTTCAGGCTTAACATTTTCAACACTAGAAGAGAAAAATTCGATTAAAATTGTTGATCAGTCTTAAAGTGTCATCCAAATACTTACGTCATTCCAATAACACCATCAGGTTCCAAAATGAAGTTGACAGCTTCTGATGGATGTATAACAATTCCATCCTTCATCCATTGTACTTCTGGAACTGGATAAGCAAGAACTTGTGCTTCAAGTTTCAATTGATCACCAGTAATGACATTAGTATCATTGAATGGCTTAACAAATTCAGGAATACGAGGTGTTGGCTTAACAGCAACAGCACAGATCATTGCAGCTTCTCCAGATGTATTTGAAATGATAACTTTGTAGGCACCACAATCAGATGGCTTGACTTTATCGATGACCAAAGTGACTTCGCCATTTGGTGAGACATCAATCTTGACACTATAGTAATGTTAAGCATTAATAAATTTAGAGACATCAATTAAGATTTAAACCTACCGATCACTTGCAGGAAGTTCATCTCCATCAATCATCCATCGAACTTTTGGTAAAGGACTTCCATCAATCTTACATTTAAGTTCAAGACGTTCCCCTTCTGGAATTTCCAAGAATCTATCAAATTTAGTCTCAAAGACTGGAGATTGTTCCAAAATGGCTAAGCTGAACTTTTCTTCTGTATCACCAGCAATGTTGGAAGCAATAATTGAGTACATATCCGAATCAGTTGGTCCAAAATGAGTAATATAGAATTCTGATGTCAATTGAGCATCACCAATAGTATGGATCTTATATTTTGGTGTATTTGTGTTTGGTTCAATGATGTTTGTGTCAATTGGTTTACCATTACGATACCATTGAACAGTTGGACGTGGAATTCCACCAACCTTAATCTTAGTTTCGTAATCTTTGTAGTCTTGAATGACCTTGCTTTGTGGTTTCAAGCTAAAGTTTGGTTTTTCAACATGAACATTCAAGTTGGCAGTGGTAATAGTTTCACCAATGTTGTTGGTAGCTGTAAGAGTATATGTACCATGTTCCTTAATTGCACATGATTCAACAATCAAGCTAAAAATAGAATAAGCATAAATTTCAAGGACATCCAAAAGATTAAAAGTTAACTTACGTATAAACTTCCTTTTCAAGATCTGCAATGACATCACAATTGTCATTATTGCACAAGTTCTGACCGTCCTTTGTCCATGTAACTTTTGGTGTAGGATTAGCATAAATTGTAGCTTGGAAGATGACTTGCTCGTATGGCAAGCACTTCTTATCTTGAAGACCTTCAATTTCTGGTTTCAAACGAATATCGACGCGACACTTATCTTCAGCTTCGCCGTACTTATTCTTTATTTTGACATAGTAGTCACCAGTATCAAAGTGTCTAGCCTTAGGGAACTTCAAAGTGTAAGTAATATCCTTCAAATTATGTTCCAATTCACCAACAGATGATGTAATGACACGATATTGATCAGAAGAGATTTCCTTTCCATTTTGATACCATGTAAGATCAGGAACTGGATCAGCAGTTAATGAGAGAGTAAGAGTAACTTCCGAATCTTTTGGAGCTTCGACATTTTCTAAGAATCGACGTTTAAGATTTGGACGACGATATTCATTACAAGCAATAACTTCAAGATTAGCACTGATTTTCTTTTCAGCCAAACGATTCTTAGCAACGAAAGACCATTCACCATGATCACTCATAATAACATCAACGATGTCAATTTTGTAGTTTTCGCCAGATTCAGTAATTTTAACACGTTCGCTGGACTTGACAACAGTTCCATTCAACATCCAAATACCTTCAGGACGTGGAACACCTTTAGCGTCAACAGACCATGATATTGGAAGAGTATCGAATGTCTTCTTGCTCTCGAAATCAGCCTTAATGATCTCAGGGTAAGCTAGATTGGAAAATAGTGGAAAATTCTAATAATTTTTTGGTCTATAAAGTAGCATGTCGATTAAAAGGGGATTTGAGATTAGTCTATAAAAATTTCCAAAAACTGTACAGAACTAATAAAATAATTATTTTTAGGATTTATAAATTTTAAATAAATATAGTTTAAGTATTTTTTTTTCAATTTCTATATACAGCAGCAAGTTTTACTTTACTGGATATATGTTTGCTTATATATTTACAATTTATTAGACTATTCTTACCTTGAATGTCTTTATTTTTATTTTTGATTTATGGTTAAGTAATATTTTTTGACCATTCTCGTGCTACTCAATAGAAGCTACAACAATACACATGCGGAACAACATTCATGCATTAAGAAAAAGTGTGATTAGTTAACCAATTCATGATATAATTTGTTTATTAATGTACATATTGGTGTAATATACAAATAGTAAGTGTAAGGGTGGTAGGAGTTTTGGGGGTCATGATAAGCAGCATTGTACATAATGTATGAGTGAAATAGCATGTTTAGAGTAGATATAAGATATAAAAGATGTTGAGATAGATTAAATTTTGATAATTCAAAAATTTCTTTTGATAGATTTTTGAAAATTATTGTAAAAATATGACTTTTGAGATGACAATGTACCTTCAATGACATGAACTTTATCTTCTTCAGATTTTTTGCTCGTTTCTGCTTCCGTTCGCTTATCTTTCTGAACTATATCGTCCTTTTGATTCATTATATCATCTAAAGCATTTCTTTGCTTTTTAATTCGATCAAAAAGATCATTAATCTCTTGATCCTCTTTATGCTCATCTTCAGAAACAGAAACAATTGATAATTGTCTTGATGATGTTTTACTTTTTGCATGAAAATCATCTTTTGATTCTATTATGTCAACTACTGATGATGATGATGATTCTAAATGTTCCACATCTACAAAACTCTCAATTTTAGGTGCATTCAGTGCATAACTTCCAACTTCCTCAACACTTAAAACTTCAGATTTTTTAGATGATTTTGTTGTGAATGTGAATGATCCACACATTTCTGGCGATGATGATGCTTCCTCAACAACTATTTTTGTCGTACGTAATTTATGTACAGAGTGTGACTCATCGGGACCTAAATATTTACATTTATTTATACAATTTTTTTTATTGCCATTTTTCAAAATGTTTTTTTTTATTCGTGATTTATTTTCAATTTTAGGGGAAGTGAAAAAGTTCAAACGGGAAAATTTTTTTGTTTTGAGTGATTTTAAGAGATAAAATTTTTTTGAAAAATTTACCTAAGACTGACGCTTGATGACTTTCTTCTGTTGTGATGGAAACTGTTATTAATTCCCCATTTTCGCCCATTTTTGTGCACTGACTTGATGTCGATGAAATTTCTTTATTGAACTCTTGATGTGATTTTTCTTTTTTTTTGTGGATTAAGATTTTTTTATAATATTTGAAAATATTTGTACGGAGACAATGATCGAGGGACATTGAATTGGTCCTTGAGTCTACATTTGGCTAGCTTAATATAATATTTTGCAATAATTTGTAAATGCAAAAAAGATACACAATTATGAAAGTTTAAAAGTCAAGTTCTTAATTTAGTATAGTTTAATGAAGAAACTTCAACGGTTCAGATCCAAAATTCTTAAATGATTATCAAATTTATTCGGAAGTTTTTTTAATTTAAATTTTTTTGCCAGAAAGGAATGATCTACAACTTAGTAGTTAATAGACTCAAAAACCAAAAATGCAAGACTCAATACCAGACAACTGTCTCTCGATATTCATACTCAAAATGAAGTTTTTAGGAACAACAATAGGAACATTTTACAAAGGAAACACAAGCCACAAGGACACAGAGTTGAATATTTCCAGTTTGAGGCGGGTATAGTCCGAACTTCATACCATATCAACCCCATCCTGACCTATTCGCCTTCTCAGTGCATTGTGCTTTATAGGTAAAAAGGATGTAAAAGAATTCAGGATATCCAATTTGTTTACCATCAACTTGTTTCTTAACAGTCATAATTTTAGGTTCTTCAACTTTTGGGGTTAACTCAGCTTCAATAATTTCTTCTGTTTCTGTAACTCGAATCTTTTCTTCGACTTCAATTTGCAGAATTTTCAAATTCGCTTCTTCTTCCAATTTTTGATTTGTTATTTTAATTTCTTCTGCAATTCTTATTTTCTGTTCCTCAATTCTGATCTTTTCTTCCTCAATTCTTTTCTTTTCTTCCTCGATTCTTAATTTCTCTTCAGCTTCCTTTCTTATCTTTTCTTCAGCTTCAAATCTTAACTTCTCTTCAGCATCAAGTTTCATTTTTTCTGCAGCTTCCTTCATTTCTTTTGCTAAATTATTTTCAATTTTCATCATTTATTTCATAAAAGAAATTAATTTTAATTTAAAAGAGTGAGAAAATGTAAATTTATGGAATGTAATGTTGAAATGATAAAACAGCAAATAGTTTGGAAAGTTTGTATACATTTATGCGACAAATGCTGTATAAAATGAATGAATAGACATGAAATGGAGGAGAAAAAAAAGTTTTTTTTGTTTTGTGGACCACAAAAAAATTAATATTGTAATAAAAAGTGATGATTGATAATACATTGAAGCATTAAGGAGGAATTTTTGATCAATGATTCTGTCTATATTTATGCTTCTATAAACTAAAACAGTGAAAAATGGAAAAAATTTGTTTTCTGAGAGTTTTAAAAATAAAAATTATAAAAAGTTGAAAAATAAATTTTTAGAAACAAATAAAAACAACCAATAAAATCACATAAAATTAAAAAACGATAAACATAAATCAGTTTCTCTTCTTATTTCCATTTCGTAAATATGATATTTTTTAATATGGAAGATTTCAAAAAACAAGATCTTTTAAAAATGTCAAAAGCTTTTTTTGATAAAGAGTTTTCGTTTGGATTTCTCGGATTGCAGATCTTTTAAGTGATGATAAATTTCAAATGACAAGCTCTTTATTTTGGAAGCTAATGATTCTTTTTCATAGAATTGATATCTAAAAAGGTTAAAACCTTCTTTAATCTTATTGTTTCTAAGTTATATTCTTGGAATCAATTGATATAGATTAAGTTGATTAAGTTTTTGATTAAACTGTCTGGATTTTCAAGATTTAACTTGTTTGGTAATTCAACATAAATTATTTCAAATTGAACCTTTCAACCCTATCAAAAATTAATCCAATTATCCAACCTTCCCCCAATTAACATTAAAATCTCACATCATCTCATACAAAGTTGTCATCAAATTAAGATAAACGTTTCATAGACTCTGTGGTTAATTAATGATGAGAAAAATATAATAAAAAGTTTCAAGCCAATTCTTATTTTTTTCGACCATCAAAAAAAAAAAAAAAATCTATTTTTGAAAGTGCTCAAATGGAACAGAAAATGCTTCATTTCCCAGTTCAAAAGTCCTTCATTTATCTTAAAATTTATCATCAAGAAAAAGAAAAGAAAAATTGACAAAACTCAAGGAAAACTCCAATGAAAAATCATTAAAAAGTCACAAATATGTCAATGATTTTTTTTTCTAATGCTTAAAGGAAATGACTGTTGTGACAAGCTCATTTGTCATTATGATTTTTTTTTAAAAAAAATAGATGATTTAACAAATAAAAAAAGAATAAAAAATTTAGGATGGAAATGCTTTTTTCTACTTACAATGCAGTAACGATTAACTTTACAAATCGATCCTTAAGTCTACTTAAATCATTAAAAGGATTGTGCACTTTTATGTACTTACTTTGAACGACAACACGGCTGCGTGATGTAGATGTACCCAAGAAGTTTGTAGCCTTGATTTCATAGTCTCCAGAGTCTGATCCTTTGACCAAATTCAAGGTCAATGCATAAGTCTCAGAACGTTGAGAATCGCGAGTGATTTTAATTCTAGCATCAGTATGAACTTCTTGTCCATCCTTTGTCCAAGTGATTTGTGGATCAGGAACGGAGTAGATTTCAACTTCAAGGACTAAAGTTGTTCCTTCATCGACTTCAGTATCGACAAGAGTCTTCTTAATCTTTGGTTTACAGTTGACAGTAACATTTGATGTTGACGTGTCGCTTCCAAATTCATTAGTGACTTTGCATGTATATTTGCCTCTTGCTTCGACAGTTGCTTCCTTAATATAGCACTTGAAAATTGTAGTATTTTCGTCACCTTCCTCAACAAAGCGATATTGCTTCTCAGTGATTTCAATGTCACCAAGATACCACTTAGCTTTAGGTTTAGGGAAACCATCCAAAGTAACTTGCATTTGTACTTCAGTGTCACTTTCATTGCAAATAACATCCTTAAGATGTTCCTTAATTTGTGGTGCACATCTGACATGGACACGACTTTCATCACGTACAGTTCCGTTGTCATTTGTCAATTCAACAGTGTAAAGTGCTGAATCATCGCGATCTGCTGCACGAACCTTCAATTTGTAGTTATCTCCATCGACAATCAACTTGCAACGTGGATCATTTTGAGAGATTTCAACACCATCCTTGAACCATTTGACTGTAGGTGGTGGATAGGCATCAACCTTAACACACAATTCGATGTCTTCTCTTTCATCAACGATAGTCACATTATTTAATCTATCTCTGATATTTGGTGGAGATGTGACACGGAAATTCCATAATTCAGTTGATGTACATAAATCATTTGTTGCGACAGCTGAGTAGACACCAGTATCGCTAAGATGACATTCACTGAATTTAATTAAATAGAAATCTCCAGCACGATGAATCTTAATTCTCTCAGTTTCAATTATTTCATGGCCGTCTTTAAAGAACTTTGACTTTGGCTCAGGCATGCCAGAAATTTCGATTGACATTTTGTAAGCCTCGCCAGCTGGTGCATAAATGTCACCTGGCTTATGAATCTTTGGTGCACGACGTACAATCAATTTCATTTCGGTATCATCTTGACCCAATTCATTCTTGGCTGTGATAGTGTAGACACCAGCATCTTCTGTTGAGACATTCTTGATGACTAAAGTCATTGTCTCAGCATCTTCATAAAGGAAACGATAACGACCGCCAGGTTCAATGACTTTTCCTTCATGTTTCCATAAAACTTCTGGTCTTGGGAAACCTTTGCATTGTAATTCCAACATAGCAGAAGCACCGATATTAGCTAAAGCTTCTCTGGTATCAACAACAAGATTTGCCTTGCATGGTTCACGTGGAAGTTCATTGACGGTTCCTTGAACAGTCAATTCAGCACTACATGAAATTGCACCAGTTTGTGTGGCAGCAACGCAAGTATAAAGACCTGCATCTTCTGGACGAACGTGTTGGAAAACTAAAGCAAGTGAATCCTCATCGTCACCCATTAAGACCTTAAATCTTTCTTCTGGATCAAACGCTTCACCATCTTTCTTCCAATGGAAAGATGGACGTGCTCCAGGTTCAGCAACTTTGTCACTAAAATCTCCGAAAATGTCTTTTTCTTGAACGACTGTAACCTTTGATTCACACTTTGATGTACCAAATTTATTGTAAACTGTACAGTTGTAAGTACCAGCATCAGTGGTTTTGACTTCCCCAATGATTAATTCGTAATATCCAAGATTTTCACTTTCACGATTAATCTTGTAGTGCTTATGAGTGTCCATAATTTCCTTATCGTCTTTTGTGAATCGAACCTTTGGTGTAGGCTCACCCTTGACCTTAACCATGAAAGTAAGGAAAGTATTCTCAATGACTTCTGTGTCCTTCAACTTAATCTCAAAGTATGGAGCATTTGTTTCAGTAAGCTCTTTACGTTTTTCATCAGATACTGTAATCAATAGATTTATTAGAATAAATAATGCTTCCTGTATATAAATATTTACGCATATCTTACATTTTTCAACAATGAGTTGTGCTGTACACGTAGCATGTTCAAATCCATTTGTTGCTTTTGCAATATAGATTCCACTATCAGATTCACGGCAATGAATCAATTGCATTGTATAAGCATTATGATCACCTTCCTTAAAAGTCATACGATCCTGTAATGGATCTTCAAGTGGCTTGTTATCCTTCAACCATACAACATTGACAGGCTTATCCTCCAATTGGAATTCGAAAGTAGCAGTTTCACCAGCTAAAAATTTCATTTTATAAATTTTTGTTTTGGGAGGAAAAAACAAGAATAAGAAGAAAGGGAAAGAAAGACTGAAATTAGCATCTTGATTTTAAAAATAGATGAAAATGCTTAAAAAAATTCATTTTGGCAAACAAAAAAAGGAAAGAAATCATTTCAAATATTTTCACTTTCTATCTTAAAAAAATAATATAATGAAAAATATTTGTTGGTGGATAAAACAATAAAGAGAAAATGTACGATTTTTCGTGGGATGATCTTATTCCTGCAAACAACTGGTCATGATCAGTTTATAATGTTGAGAAATAAAGTATACAAATTAGTAGTTTAATTAGTTTCATTCTAGTCTACTTAAAGCCAATTGTTAGCCAATTAGGTTAATTGGAAATGATTAATGAAATTGAAGTATCCCAAAAGTGACTGAATAATTCAAATGAATGAGGATGTGGATATATTTTTTTTTTGCATGTGAAACAAAATGCTCATCGGTGCATATTTTTGTGCATCATATGTATTTTTTTTATTAATGAAACTCACGCTCGATATTGCATCCTTTAATTGCTTTCATGAAAATTGGACGTTTTCCACTTCCATTAATGATTTTGCTGCTAGTGCTGACATGTTTTGATTCTTCGCGCTTGACTAAATGATTGATTCATTCCAATTGAGTTTTTTTTATGGTTTGGGTTGATGGTTATTTTTTTTAAAAGGAATATTTATAGTCATAAGTAGTTGAGTATATAAATATTGAGGATATAAGGGGATGTATAGCAAATAAAAAAGTAAAAATAGAAAAGAAATTATAATAAAAATAATTTACAACAAATTAAGAAAATATTAATCTACATAAAATAAGTTCAGACGAGTCTAAAATGAAAAAATTTAAATTTTCTATCATTTTAGTAAAGTTTTTGTTTTTTTGAAATTCTTAGTGCAACATGCCTTAAAACATTGCATTTGTAAAGAAAATAAATAATATAGTTTTAAGATAAAAATAATAAGAAAAGTAGAGTAAATAAATAGAAAAATTCGTGCAACATTGAAAGATTAACAGGCTGATTTCTGTGAAATGAAGTGTTGGATTATGAAATTTCCTTTATTTTGACAAGAAAGACTATAAATTAAGACATCCCACTATCCATTTTTCAGAAATTCAGCATTATTTGTTATGAAAAAAGAAAACTTTGTAAGAGTAAGCAATATCGAATTATTGCTCCAATTTTCATTTAATGAATTAATTTATAAGAAATTATGCACAATCAATCTGTGCGACAGTGCGACTTGAATGAGTATTACTCTATATACAAGAAATTCGTGAATTTAATGTGCGAAACATGTTAAAAGAATAAAATAAAATTTTTATACCAAAATTCATTTCGTATAAATAATCTAAGGAATTGATGAATGAAGAAAATATAAAGTAAGTTGAATCTTTCAGAACTGAATATGTATGAAGAATGTAGTTTTGCTGTAAAAATGATAAAAATGCTTTACCTTCAACGCGTTTGGTAACTTTAGTTTTGCTATCTGCATCCATTTTTGCTAATCTTGTTAAATCTTCTTCTGCGTCTTCAAAATCAATATTTTCAGAAGTTGTTATGCATACCCCGGTTTTGGGATCCTCAACAGTATATTGGTATTCAAACACAGGCCCTTTTTTGCGTTCTCCAACGACAGTGCCAGGTGTTTTGATATGTGAAAAATCTCCTAAGATTGCCTTCGATACGGTATCTTCTGCAAACTTAATTGTCTCTGTTGTCTTGCCAAGATTATGTTTTAAATTTTTAATCTTTTGTTGTGCTGTGATTACTGAGCAGTCTTCTTTTTCGTATGGTAAGTCACCTTTCAAAAAATCTTCTGTCTTCTTCTCTAGTTCCTCGTTCTTGACGACAACTTTTCTTGTAATTTTCGGTGGTGGATCAGGATATTTTTCCTTTTTGACGTGAACTTCAAAAGAAGCTTCGTATTGGGTTGGTGGTGGTGGATCAAAGAATCCAGGTAATTTTATTGAACCTGGAGTTGGAGGTGATCGTTCCTTATCTCCTGAACCTTTTCTTCTTTGATTATTTGGTCTTTGTGGTGGAGTTGGTGGTTGATCCTGATTTTGATCTGATTGATTATTATCAGAATTATTATTGTTGTTGCTTTGTTGGGTTTCTTTTGGTGGTGATTGTTTGTCTTTTGAGTCACCAGAATCAGCTGCTTTAGTTACTTTTGGTAATTTTTCTTCAGCTAGTTTCTCGTCTTTTGATAAGTTTAGTGGTGCTGGTTTTGGTTTTTCAGCTTTTTCTTCAGCAAGTTTTACTTCAGGTTCGACTTTTTTGGATACTTTTGGTGGTTCCTCAAGATCAATGCTCTTTTTAGACTTTGCAGTATATCTTTCCTTATAATTCTTCTTATATCTTTCTTCAATTCTACGGATTACACTATTTTCAGCAATGTAATCTTCCTCGATTTTTTCTTGAATTTCCTCCTTAATAGCTTCTTTCCTTCTTATTTTTTCTTCAGATTTTTCGATTTCAGTTGGTTCTTCAGCTTCCTTTGGTGTAAATTTGTTGAGTTCCTTATCAACTTCTGTCTTTCGAATCGATCTTAATTTTTGACTAAGTTTATCTAGTTTCTCACTGACAGATTGTTCAACCTCTGTTAATTCACTTTTAACTATGTCTTGCTTAATTTCCTCTTTCTTTTCAGTGTCAACTTTCTTTGTTTCAATAACAAGTGACTTTTCTAATGAAGCAACAGGTGTAAGATCAACAGGTGCTTTACGAACAATTTCTGTTTTTAATTCCGGTAACGCTTTTGGTTTTTCGATTGATGGCTTTGGCGCTTCTTCAACTTTTTTAGATTGTTCTTCAACTTTAGCTTCTTGTTTCTTTGATTCCTCGACTTTGGGTTCTGGTTTCTTGAATTCCTCGACTTTTTTAGTTTCTTCGACTTTGTTTTCTACGTTTTTGACTTGTTCAAGTTTTGCCGTAACTTTTTCTTCAACTTTAATAGCTTCAACTTTTTTAATTTCCTCAACTTTTACTTGAGTTTTAGTTTCAACTTGTTGAGTCTTCTTAGCAGTTTCAAATAGACTTTCTTTAGGTGCTTGAGGTGAGATTACAGGCTTTCCAGACTTTTTAACTTCTGAAACATCAGGTTTCTCTTCAGTTGATTGTTTCTTAAAAACAGGGATCTTTGATGGCTCCTTTGTAGATGCTGAAGACTTTTGTTGTGCAATTTGCTGACTAGATTCTTCAGTCTTTTCAGTTTTATTAATTTGAGTAGTAGTAGTAGTTGTAGATTCGGTTAAAGTTTGTGTTTTTGTTACTTCTTCTGAGACTTTTTTCGTTGAAAATTTCGAGATTGTATAATTTTCAGCGACGTCTGATGGCTTGATATTTTGATCGTTTTCGTAAGCTTCGATACGCTGTGGTAGCTTGATTAATGGTTCGTTAGTATCGAGATGTTGCTTTGGATCAATTCGAATATCGTCAATAGAATGTTCTTGAAGTGCAACGGCGTCACTAAGGTATTGCTTGATTTCACGTAACCAAATTTTCTTTGATTCTTCTTTATGTGCAACAATAGCAATAATACCATCAGCTGCTTTAAATTCGATTTTCAAACTTTCGTCCGGTTCAATTAATTCTATTTCTGGCAATCGGATGATATCTTTAAGTATGAAAACTGATCGATCGTCAGAAATGCGTCTAACTTTGCAAATTAAAATTCGTGCTTTAAATAAAAATAAATAACGTTCTTTTGACTTTCCTTCTTTATCAATTACAGTCCACCATTCATGAGTTACTAATCGTCCTAATTTGTGGATTGTCCCTAAGATTTAAATTAAAAAATTAAGATGATTTACAATTCATTAAATGTTAATCCTTCATACCTTTATAACCTTCGATATTAGCAAGAAATTTATTATCAATTGCCCGATGAGGGACACTTAGCATCAACTCAAGGGCCTTTTGTAGATCAGAGACGTTGTCCCCTAAGCGTGTTGAATATTTTACAAGCTCCTACAAACAACATCAACATAAGCATGAGTAAAATATTTATATGTCTATTAATAACAAGGTTCTTGACCCAATAACAGCTACCACTTTCTACTATAGTCTACGCATGTAAGATTCACGAGAAAACAAGTGTTAAAAGAAATTTTTCACTCTCGTCAACGCGATATTTTTAGATTATGAGAAATTAAAAACAAAAAAAAAAATATTTCAAGGTGTTCATGGCAATTATGTTGTGATAATTTGTTTTCAAATGGGACACCATGTAATTAATTGTTGCTGTTTGTTAAGTCAGTACGAAAACTTGGTAAATAGAGCTCAATCAAAATTCCTCAATTTTTCTTCTTGTACTACAAACGCATCTCTTATTATTGAAATAGCTGAGTTGAAAAATGGACAAGCGCCAAGAATAATTTATGAGGAGCATATGTAGTGTACGAGTTGTGAGGATTACGTGATTCAATTTATTTGTTTTTGCAGCGATTTTCAAGTCGTTGTCCTATCCCTTGAAAAATATAAACTTTTTGTTTTGCAAAGATTTATTGGGATTGAATTGCTTTAATTGAATTATTTTGAGGCAAATTATGAAGATGTTGACATGGAAGTTATGATGTTGAAAAAATCAAAATTTTCTGTTTGAATCTACAATTATAATCATTACAACAGCTAATATTGTGTACAAAGAGTTCAAATTAAAAATATAACCTTAATAAAAATCTTCTGGATGTTTCTGGATGTTAAAAAAAATTGATCAAAACATACCTTAAGCAAGAGTTGATAGTCGTTAATTCGTTGAATCGGCAACTGAAGATGTTCACTGATGTTTTTATCGTCACCAAGCTTTTCCGATAATTCCTGGAAATATTATTTACACATCAATAAATTTATCTCACATTTCACATTGAACAGTTTCACATTTCAAGGGCGGATATTTCATAATTTATTTATTAATAATCTTGTTCGTGACATTCCGCAGTTGTTATTTTCATTTCATACATGACACAACTTTTTGTCAACAATTTTCATTCACATATCACTCAACGTTCGGAATGATGAGGAAAGGAAAAATTTTCTTTTCCACTCTTTGCCTTTGTGAGTGATTAATTTACACGCCCAATTTCCTAAAACTATTTCATTCGAGAATAATATTAAAATGTCGATCAACGTGGTCGACAATGATGACGAGGCTAGTGATTCAAATAAATTGAATAATCTCTCCCACATAATTCAGTAAAGTTCAGAACTGATTTTTAATTTTAGAAAAGATTTTCTCATGCGAAAATAACTTTTTTTTTGCAGCAGATTTTTCAGTTACTCTTAACTAAATTTCTATAATTAATGGATTTATGAAAGTCCACTTGTTGATAAAATTTTAAGAAAATTGTTGTAAACACTTGTATGAGATGACTTTAATGCATCTTTTTGTGGTTAAAATAGATCGAAAAATGTGCCCATTAAATCTTTAGACATTGTTGCAGACAGACTTAATATAAACAATTTGAGATAAATGGGGTTGGTTGGAAGTTGGATTATTTTCCACAACCAAAACCTTAGTATTAACCGTATTAACGATAAAGAGAGCTAGTTGGTGCACTGACATGCAATTCAAGTTGTTTGCAGCGAAAAACTAAGATTTGCCGCAATGTGTCACACGAGTGATGATCAGACCCCAAAAATAAATTTCTTCATATTGTTTTGGTGTCTATTAAAAATTTTCTACATCCACAATTCACACAAGTGTGTTAAAAATATTTATCGACGTCAGACCAAAGGACGAGATTTCGTTGATTTTTTTTTCTGAGTGGGATGTTGATTGCAGTGTGTTTAATTTTTGTAATTTTACGAATTGTTTGAGTCAGAAAATTGTTGAACCAGAGGAACTAAATAATGAGAGTTATTTTTCCCCAAAAGAATCATATTTTGGCATATTGTTTGAGTCATAAATATTGCAGACAAATGATTATTTTAACAAGTTTGAGAATTTGAGGTAGGAATAATACAGCGGGTGGATGAATTATTAGTTTGATGACAAATTTGTTATTTTTGTCAAACAAGTGATTGTCGTAATTTTTGTGACTTGACATTCAATTGAGCTTATGATTTAAAGTTTAATGAAAGTTGCATGATGAATTTAAAGTAAGAATCTCAAATATATACCAAATCGTTCTTTGTTTGCTAAATGTTATGATCAAATCCGCAATTAAGTGTCAAAAATTATTAATTTGCTTTTAACCAAGAGTGAAGAATTGATCTAAAGTCAACCAACCCTTGCCACTTATTTAATCAAAAAAAAGATTGATTGGCAATTCATCCGATAGCTTTTCTATGCTTTTAAATTCTTATCAAGATGCCAATTGAATCAAAATTCATGAAAAATGTTAGTTAAGTTTAGCTTTTTTAATAGAGATATCCCGACTAAACAAAAAATCATTATTCTGGCGCCTCAAAACTCAAATGAAAAAGCGAATTGAAATAAATTTCATCTTTACGGATCTTTACTTTATGTATGTACACAAAGACATCAATTTAATTTTGAATTACTAGCACATATCGCAATTAGAGCTTTTAAATGTAATTTGTTACATTTTCTTTACTGACTCATCATATTTTAAGAGTTTAATTTCGTTTTCATTATGAGCGATCTTCAGTTTATAGCCACAAACACAGTCTATATTCAGTCCTTAAACATTTTCTTTATCATCACACTTCTATGATTCGATAAAAAGTCACACATCGTAATTTATTATTGGAAAGAGGAAAAAAATATACAGTATTTATGTACAATGCCTATGGACGGTCGAAAAATAACTTTAACAATTTTGCTACTGTGATAAATTTAGAACACTACACATTGAGATCTCCAATCTCTGGTGAATTTTTTTCCTTTTCTTTTCACATAATATCTTCAAAAATAATTTTTTTTTATATTATTTCACTTGACTTTTTCGCATTCTTTCGTTTATCGATCATTTAAAATAATTGATTTACAATCCATTAAATGTCCAACTGTGACTACTGTGTAGATTCACTTTTCATTTGTTTTTATGTGCTAAGGTTGTCCATTAAAAAACCATTAATCATACATTTTATGATTTTTTTCACCTTTTCGATTTTTTTTCACAATTTTTTCTCTCAAAAACAAAAAAGAATTTTCCAAAAATATCCTAAAATGGCATAAAAATATCACCCAAAATTGCGTGGGCCTAAAATTTTCTTTTAATTCACCTTAACTTCTTTTTATTCCTTTCAAATTTCAATATTTAATGTCAGGGCGCGGGGATCTTCACACTTGAAGATATCAAAAACGACTAAGAAAAATCAGTCTGAATTTTTCCGATTTTTTTTTCTCTTTTGCCTCGGCCAAGCGAAAATATTACACAAAAAAAAATATCTAAAATTAAAATATTTTCGCCACTTTTTTTCCTTTCTTTTTGTACCGCATATACACTTCGAAGTTCAACACTAACTTCGTTGGAGGAATTCATATCTGACGCGTTTGTGTTTTTGCAAAAAAAAAATATAAAAAAGTCAATCATGATCGTGTGACATTATTGACATTTTGGACCCAGAGGGAAATTTTTAATTTTGCGAGAGAATCTGTTCTTCTTCGTGGATCTAAAATTAATTTTTAATGTCGGAACTTTGTCATTCAAGAAAATTAAAAACTCAATTTTTTTTCATTATTAAAATTTGCTTACGAAATCTCGGCAAGTGCATGAAAGAAATAGAGGAAAGATTGAAACATTCATTCACAAAAACAACACATCCTCCTTTAAACCTTTTCGCTTTTCGAGTTATAAACTTAGAGATATATGGAATTCTCGTGCTACACCGACATTGAAGCGATAAATGAAACGGTGTATTTTTTTTTTTGTTGTGCATATTTTCGCAAATCAGATGTGTTTATGAATTTACAGATTGTTTAGGCTGAGTTCCTCTGTGGGAGAAATTTTCTAATAGAGAAGCTTAGTAGGTGGATTGGAATCTATTGGATAAATTGTCTGGATTCCAGATTCTTGGGTGTTCAAAAGTAAATATCAGGTTTTGATTGCTTATGATATTTAAAAAAGATGTTTACATGAAGTTTAAAGTTAAAATTTCTATCTGCTGAATCCTTAAAAAGATTAAAAAGAATGGTTCCCAAATCATTAAAAATAATTACGATCATTTTAGAAGTTACAAATAAATTCAATCGTGAACCAAAATTTGGATAGAAATATTAAAAATGCGCACCAAATTTCATTATTTAAAAAGATTCCACTAGTTTTTCACTTCGTCTAATCGTTCCTAAATTAAGCGCCGTGATATTTTTTTTCTAAAATAATTATTTCAATTTGACATTTCGAGACGATGAAAAAAATAAATAAAATCTTGTAACAAATTTGAAATTTAATTTTTAATGACTTTCATTCTTTAAAGATTTACATCTGAAGCTTCTCCTCAAAGGGCAAAGAATATTTTCTGTTTACATACAAAAAACGACACCGCAGCAAGGTCATGATTTGAAATTAGGTCTGTTTATGCTCTATTGCTATTTTTAAACAACTCTCAACTTCGTCTACAGTGAAGATCAAGTCAATAAAAAAAAAATCTCACGTGTTTATTGAATAATCGATTGATCACATTTGGAAAACATTGAACTCTGCAGCATTGAGACTTTTCAATTTGGGAGAAATGTTTACGGAAATTCTTGATCTTGAAATTTAATTCAGACATAGTTTTGAGTTTCAAACGACTAAAAATATTCAATAAATTCGACACAAGTGGCAAGTGTTGTTGATAAATAAGACAATAATGGGCTATAATTAGCTTCACAAACGCATCCGTAAATACATTCAAACAGTTGGCAATTTTTCAGTTCCTCGTCATTTGATTGAGTTGAGCTTTTCACATGATCATTGTTGATCTTCAAGTTTCTTGATCTATTTTATAGATGGCGT